TGACATTAGAATTTTTAAAGAAACTAAAACTTTTCTTTTTACTCTATCGAAACAAATTATCAGGTAAATAGTTGGCAATGTTATTAAAGTAAATTTTTTTTATAAAATAATTATTAATGAGGTAAAAAGTATTAAAAATACACTCTTTTGCAAAAAAAACGGGCACCTAAGGAAATTTACGTTCTAAAGTCGATTTGAGTTAATTAAATGAAATTTATTTCTTTGACTTAGTCTGTATACTTATAATCGTGTAAATTAATGCGCGTGAAGTGAATTCGGGCAATTAAAAGGAAAAAAAACGATGGATTCTTTAAAACCGATGTACACGCCCAAACAATAAGAAGTGGTCGGCAATAAAGACAAGATTTTTTTTACTTTTTTTAATTAAATAAAGTTCCAAATGTAAAAACCTAATAACGAGTGTGACCTCCTCTTGCCAAAATCACAGCTTGAATCCTTCTGGGCATGCTTTCCACGATGTTTTTAATAACGTTTTGAGGAATACGTTCCCACTCTTCTGCAATGACTCTTTTTAGCTCCCTGATGTTTTGTGGAGCAGGTTGCACTGATCTTACTCGTCTCTTTAGAACATCCCAGACATGCTCAATTGGATTGAGGTCAAGACTTCGAGCTGGCCAATCTAAACGACGGATCCCAACTTCTTGCATGTACGCTTCCACGTCGCCAGAACGGTGCGGGCGAGCATTGTCGTCCATAAAAATGGAATCTTCCCCAAGTGCGGTCAATGTGGGTTGTGCATATGGAATTAGGACTTCCATTATGTACCGGTGTGCATTTAATGTTCCATTTTCTATGAATACTAACTCCGTACGCTCCGTCGAATTAATTGCTGCCCAAAACATAACGGAGCCGCCACCATAAGGAGTGATTTCTTCGAAACACACTTCCGCATAGCGTTCCCGTGGTCTTCGCAGCACTCGCCGGCGTCGGTCCTCTCCACACAAAGAGATTCTAGCTTCATCAGAAAACAATACTTTATTGCAGTCCTCCAGAGTCCATGAAGCACAGTTCCGAGCAAACTGAAGTCGAGCAACACGGTGCTCACGGAGTAATTTAGGGCCCCGAGCTGGGCGGTAACTCCTGATATTGGCAGCCAAAAGCCTCCTCCTGACCGTCCGCAAGCTAACTTCTACTCTTCTTACTTCTTCAAGGCTCTTCTTCAGGTCCACACTTGACGCCTTACGACTCCGCAACGCCTGACTCACCAAAAAGCGGTCATCTCTTGGTTCTGTGCATTGTTTTCTTCCCGAACCGGGTCTTCTTTTGACCGAACCGGTCTCTTGATACCGTTGCCAAGTCCTCTGGACAGTTGAACGACTCACATTTAGCCGCTGAGACACGTAAGTTTGCGAACAACCTTCTTCAAGTAGGGCTATAATTTTACCGGCCCTTATCACTTTATCACTCATATCAAAAAGTGGTATTTAATGTAAAAAGAAAGATTAAATTGTTTAATTTGCAGAAAATATCCAAAAAGTTTTAAAATATCGTAATCAGTTAAAAATCGTTTCAGCAATTCGCGCCATTAGTAAAGCGATTTTAGAATAATCCACAATAATCATTATTTTTCTTGTATTAATTTCAAATTTTAAATTTGGAACGTAAAGAATCATGCCAGGATGCTTCAAATAACATGCTAATATATCGTCAAATTAATAAAACCTATTTCTTGTTCTTCTTCATTGAAGTAGAGAAAAAAATCTAAAGTGCCCGTTTTTTTTGCAAAAGAGTTTATATTAATATGTTATAATTTGTTAAATTATTAATACAAAGGTCGAACATTCAGAAAAAAATCCTTCGATTCGGCCGGAACCGAAACAAAAAGAATTGAATATCATTTGAATACAAATTGAAATGCAATGAACGATTGTTAAACTCGGGCTGACGCGACGTGCGCGTGCGCAGAGCGGCGCGGCGTGTCGGCGCGCGCGCTGGCGGCGCTGGGCGCTCAGAGCGCGGCGGGCGACGACGGCCCCGCGCCGCTGTGGCAGCGCGTGCGCGGCCCGCGCCAGATGCGCCCGCGCTGGGCCCGGCGCCACCTGCTGCTGGCGCACAACCTGCTGTACGCCTTCCGCTCGCCCGAGGTGAGTCCGCCGGCGGCCGCCCCGCCACGCCCGCCCCGCCCGCCCCGCCTGACGCCCGCCCCTTGCAGTGCGGCCGCGCCACGTGCCTCATCTTCCTGGAGGGCTGGTCGGTGTGCGCGGCGGGCGAGGTCAAGTCGCGCGCGCACGCCTTCAAGGTGTACTGCGTGGGCTCGGCCTTCTACTTCGCGGCCGCCACGCGCCAGCGGCAGCAGGCCTGGATCCAGCTGCTGCAGCGCGCCACGCTGCAGTCGTCGCCGGCCGCGCCGTCCGCGCCGGTGCGTCGCTCGTTCGGGCCGCCCGCCGCCCGCCGCCCCGCCGCGGCCGGCCCGCCCCGACCGCCCGCTCTGTGCAGGTGGACCTGTCCAAGCGGTTCTCGGAGACGGAGTACTCGGAGACGTCGTCGGAGGGCGAGGAGGGCCGCGAGCGGCCGCGGGCGCCGGCCGCGGAGCGCGACAAGGGCAAGTTCGGCTCGCTGAAGAAGCTGACCACGCGCATGCGCAGCGAGTCGCAGGAGAGCGTGGCGGGCGCCGGCGCCGCCAGCCTCGACCGCAAGTACCTGCGCTTCTTCGGCCGCCACCGCGCGCGCGACGACAAGCCGCACAAGGTGCACCCGTTGCCTCCGACGTTCACGTCCAAAAATAGTCTCGCTTCAGAATCGCACATGCCCACAGGTTTAGTAGGAAATACTATTAATAGACGAAATCGCAATAACAATTGTGACGTCCCACCTCAGAAGTGAACGGTGCACCAGATATCGCTACGAGTACCAAATGACTATTGTCTTATACCTAATTAATTTTAGATTGACGAACTGCCATTTATCAGAACTATTCGTAATTTATAGTCATTACAAACAAATCAACTAGATGGCGCTTCTTTCACTGATTTTTATGGACACCGCCCACTATTCTTTTATTTTATTTAGGATGGCGCCATCTATTGATAAAATTATAGGCACACAAGACTTTCAACTCGTGTCTCAAGGTGCCCCTCAGATCTTAGCCATCTAAAGCTCTGAACGGCATTGCAACTGTTATGGATAAGCGTATAACTTACCACCAGACGCACGACTTGTTCGTCCCGTCTGTTACTTCATATTATAAAAAAATATTTCTTTTTTCTTCTAAGTGTTCGATCTTTATATTAATAATTATAACAAACTAGTGGAATAATCTCACAAAAAATAAATGAATATCAATTCCTTAAAAAAAAAAAATATTTGTCCGTTTGTAGCTCAAAGTCAATATTTGAATAATATTACAAGGAAAAAGAACTGAGTACTTGTATTTCATACTACCGAGGAATTACTGGTATCCACGGCCATTTACATAATACAAACTACTTCCAGCTAACGCCAACCTGAAGACGGGACTTTAAGCTTTTTCAAAGTTACGATCCGTAGTGTTGAGATTAGCACTCCTCTTGAATGAATTGGTCCATGGCCTACAGTAAATGATGTGTTGACGTTGCAGAACAAACAGCTGGGCGTGCCGGTGCCCACCGAACACTACCGCAGCTACCGGCGCGTGGCCGACCCCCCCGCGCCCTTGTCCCCTCTGTCCCCCCTGTCTCCGTCCCCCCCTGATGACCGGCCCAAGAAGATACCCAAGCCCATCAACTTCATCCACGCATCCAACCCCAACCTGGTGGAGTTCGAGCGCAGCGAATTCGTGGGCCGACCCTCGCTGCAGCCCAGGCCTAAGGGGAGTTCTCCCTCCTTTATATGCAAGCAAATAATAATGATAACTATAACATTGGATGTTGTTGTATTGTTTCAACTTTGAAAAAAAATGTTCAGTGAATAGTTGACATATCGAATAATATATGACGCCCTGTCTCCTTGTACCTCTAGTTTACTTAAATTTGTAAACTTCTATAATACTTTTACAATAATTAACGTAATGACGATTGCAGGTTCAGAAGCCGGAGACCTTCCTGGGCTTCGTGACGCTCGAGGAATTCATGCTCAAGAAGCAGGAAGAGGAGCGCCGGCAGGTAAGTAGTTCCTTCAATCTTTTCCTAATGCGAGTTCAGTGCAGTCGTAAAAGTTACACAAGAACACGTATCATATATAAATAATAACTTAAGGCGATGTATTTCAAGGCGAGCCTAAATTTTAGGAGGTGAGATGTGGGGCGTCGCAAAATATGAACAAGCGGAAAAAATTTGACATAGATCCGACGTCGACAAGCGTAAGAGTAGCGGACGGCGCGGCGTGTCGTAAATTTAATAACTACAAAGCGTCAGTCGAAAGCCAAAATTTAGCAGGTTCTCTGTAGTGCTTAAAGAGAAATATTTCCATGTAAAATTTATGTACAAAGTTGGATATTTTATTCTTAAATAATTCGTTTTAGATTTTTATTTTAAACAGTTTTCAGAATTTTCTGGACTCGGGTAAAGTACATCCTATCGTGTTACAAATTAGCACATTCTTCAGACAATATCCTTTTGTGTATCGTATATTTCTTGTAAGACCGTTATTTAATAGTAAATATCTAAACCATTTGATCTAGCAAAATAGTTGTTCCCGCTTCTCCTCCGGCGGCTCGCCTTAATGTCTCTAATCAATTTGGTTCCACTCGGGGTCGTTCAACAAACGATGCTGGTATCGAATTAATGAAACATAATAAATAATGCACGGAAAGACTTGCATGATGTTTATTCTTCGTGCATTCTGTGGCCTTTCAAAGGCATTTGTTAGTGTGCATCGTGACAATCCATT